GGCGGGGGCGGGGGGGCAGCAGGTGCTGGTGGGGGAGGTGGGGCCGGAGCCAGAGCCGGAGCATCTGCAAGGGAAAGAAGAGGTGGGTGAGACGGTGACACGGCAGGGCACGGTGCCACCAGCGTGCTCCCTCTGCCACCGCATTACCCTGAGTCCCCCGGCACATCCCCACAGCCCCGCCTCAGTTTCTGTGCCCCGAGACTCGCTGCCACCCCTCCTCGGTGCCAGGTGCCCCGCCGGGAAGGGGACACCCCCTCGCACCCGCGGTACCTGTGCAGGTGGCGGTGGTGTCGGTGGTGACAGCGGCTTCCCCGGAAACCACGGGGGTTGCGGGGGTTTCTATGACAACGGGGACAATTTCGATGGCGACGTCTCCGTCGGGCCCACGCAGAATCTGCACCAGCCCCTTCTCCTCGAGCTCCGCCAGCCGCCGCTCCAGCGCCAGCCGGTAGCACTCCTGGGGCTGCGGGGACGGCGGGCTGGGCGGCCGCGGGGGGCTCAGCTGCTCCTGGAGAGGTGACAACCCCCGGCAGGTCACTGGTGTCCCTGTGCACCCCCAGAGCCGGCCCCTGAGCCCCAGCCTTCCCTCGGCACCCCCGGCTCACCCGCAGCGCCTCCAGCTCCCGCCGCGCCTGGCTCAGCTGCTTCTCCAGCTCCGCTATCTTGGCCATGGAGTCGTTCTCCGCATCCTGCAGCTTCTCTGTCAACTGTGGGGGACGAGGCGCCGCCGCTCAGCCCCGTCCTCATCCCTCCCTCGGGGCTTGCGTCAGCGGCTCTGCCCCCGCGCCCACGGCCCACCTGGCTGACGTGCTCCTGCAGCTCCTCCATGTGCTCCAGCACCGCCGTCTTGGTCTCCGAGTCCTCCAGCATGGCCCCCACGTCGAAGACGTTGTCCAGGTAGGCTTGGATCTGCACCTGCAGCTTGTCGCTCTCAGTGAGGCGCAGAGTCTGCCGAGGGACAGCCGTGTCACCATGGGGGCCAGCGGCACCCCCACCCCTATCTGCACCTGCAGCTTGTCGCTCTCAGTGAGGCGCAGAGTCTGCCGAGGGACAGCCGTGTCACCATGGGGGCCAGCGAGCACCCCCACCCCTGGGATCACCCACTTCCACCCGGGGATCACCCACCCTTGGGATCCCCCACCCCTGGGATCACCCACCCTCGGGATCACCCACCCTCGGGATCACCCACTCCCACCCCTGGGGTCACCCACCCCTGGGATAACCCACCCCCAGGATCACCCAGACCCGGGGTCACCCACTCCCACCCCTGGGGTCACCCACCCCTGGGATAACCCACCCCCGGGATCACCCAGCCCCGGGGTCACCCACTTCCACCCTGGGATCACCCACCCTCGGGATCCCCCACCCCTGGGATCATCCACTCCCACCCTCAGGATCACCCAGCCCCGGGGTCACCCACCTCCAGGTACTGGTCCAGCCCCAGGTGGGTGAACTCGTACTGCAGGAACACGCGGAAGTTCATGTTCTCCACCGAGTGCACCACGATGTTGATGAACTGCATGCAGGCCACCTGCGGGGACACGGCTCAGCACGGGGCCAGGACAGCTCGTGGGGATGCTGCCCCAGGGGCTGCACGGGGCCTTGGTGGCCCTCGGGGACATGGTGCCCCTGGGGAGAGCATGGGGGTTGACACAGTCCTGGGGACCTGGTGCCCTGGGGACAGCACAGTGATCATGGAGACATGATGGCCTGGGGACAGTTTGGTGGGACAGCATGCCTTGGGACATGATGGCCTGGGGACAGTTTGGTGGGACAGCATGCCTTGGGACATGATGGCCTGGGGACAGTTTGGTGGCTTAGAAGCCCTTGGGGACACGATGCCATGGGCACAGTGTAGTGGCTTAGAAGCCTTTGGGGACAGCAGAACAGTCCTTGGGACATGCCACCCCAGCACGGTGGCTCAGCAGCCCCTGAGGACATGGTGGCCTGGGGAGATTTGGTCATTCAGCATCCTTTGGGACATGATGCCATAGGGACAGTGTGGTGGCTTCGGAGCTCTTTGGGCATAATGTCCTGGGGACAGTGCAGCAGCCTTGGTGGCATGACGCCCTGGGGACAGCAGAGTGTGGCCCCCAGCAGCCACTCACCATGAAGTCAATGTTGGTGTCCTCATTTCGGAAATACTCCATCAGCTTCTCGAAGCGGTTCTTCTCCCCGCAGACCTGGGGGGAGCAGGGGGCTGAAGGCCAGCGAGGACATGGCCAGGGGACACCCAGGAGGGGGACAGGACAGGAGGTATCTATTGGTGACACCATTCCAACTCTGAGTGGTGCTGCCAGGCACCTGGCCCAGCTGGGACATGGCCCTGGGGACACATGGTGGCATGGGGACATCAAACCCAGTGAGTGGAACATCCTTAAGCGAGCCAGAGGTTTGAGGGTGGTGCAGGGCTCTGCCACACACAGGATTTGTGCCTTTTTTTTGAAGCACAAATCCAGGTGAAACACAGATATTCATGTGGGGACTGGGTGTCCCTGCTGGGGACTGGGTGTCCCTCCATCTCTCCATCTTGGGGATGGAGACTCACCTCCTTGAAGTTGTCAAAGGCAGCCAGGATGATGTCGTGGCCGCCTCGGACCAGGCAGACAGCGGCCAGCAGCTCCAGCACCAGAGCCTTGGTCCTGCAGACACACGGTGTGAGGGGGCTGGGGCCGCGGGGACAGGGGGACAAGGGACAACGGGGGGCAGGACAGCTCCTACCTGGCGCTCTTGTTGTTGAGGCTCAGGGTGATCTCGTTGACACAGGCTGGGTGGTTCATCACCAGGCTGAAGCCAGACTGGGGAGGGGAAAGGAGCGTTCATGGGCTGTGTGTCCCCCTGGAGCACTCAAGGACCGCGGGACAGGGTCCCCCCCAGGCAGGAGGTCGAGTGAGGACATCTCAGAGCCAGGGGACGCAGACCCGCTCCCACCCCGGGGCTGCCCACGCCGGGGAGCCCCGGGCGGATCCCCGCGGATGCCGCCCACTCGCACCTGGTAGTTCATGATGGCGCGGAGGCACATGATGCACACATGGACATCGTCCTTCTGGCTGACGAGCCGCGAGTTGCGCAGCGCCTTCCTGCTGTGCGAGGGGTTCAGCCTGGGCGGGGAGAGCGCGGCTGAGCGGGGCCCGGGGCGGCGGCGGGCGCAGCGCAAAGCGGGGACGGGACAGCGCAGGGGTGGCAGCGGCGGCGGGGACACCGGGACACCGGGCGGGAGAGCCCCTCGCGTCCGTGCCCGTCTAGAAGCCCGGGGGTGATGGGGGTGGGATGGGTTTGGGCCCGGGGGGTGATGGGGGGTGGGTTTGGGCCCCTCGTGCGCACGGGCGGTCTCGGAGGCTCACCGGGGCGGGCAGGAGCTGCCGGGTGACCTGGGGGCACTGTCCCCATCGCTGCCCGGGGCACCGCAGGGGGCGCTGGGGTGGACGTGGCGGAGGAGGGTGTGGATGTGCTGGTTCGAGAGGCAGCAGCTGGAGGCGCGTTAGAGCCTGCAGGACAGGAGGGAGAAACGGGGCTCCCGCGCCGCCCCGGGGACACCCGGGCTCGGGGACAAGGGATGGGACCCCTGCGGGTGCCACGTCCCTCCTGACCTGTCCCTGGGGCTGGGAGGGACACCCCGGCTCCTCCAGAGCTGCTGGCGGGCGGCGAGGGACCCCCGCGGTCCCCGGGGTGCCGCGTTACAGCTCGGGGGGTGACCGCGGTGGGTGTCCCTGGGACCCCCCCGCCCACCGGGGGCGCCCCCAGGCCCTGTCCCCAATGCCGGTGACCAGCAGCGGGGTCCCGTGGGTGTCCCCGTCCCGCCAGTGCCCGTCACCTACCGTCAGCGCGTCCCCGGCAGCGTGCAAGAGAAGAGCGGGGTTAGACGGGGCTGCGGGCGAGCGGCACCAAGCGAGAGCCACCGGGCACCGGGACCGGCTGCGGGACACAGGCCCGTCCCTCCGCCCCGGCTTTAAACCAGGGGCTGCGATTTGCTCCCCCAGAATCTCCAACACCCCCAATTTTTGTGTACTCCTGGGGTTTGGAGCACCCCAGCACGGCGGCAGTGCCGGGTGGGGACGCGGCTCCAGCCCCCCCCAGGCAGGGCTCAGCCCCTGGGGACACTCGGGGGGAAGTGGCTTTGTCCCCACCCTCACATCAGCAATGGGCGCCCATCTTTAGGGCCGGGCCTGCGTCTCCCTGCCAAGCCCCTCTCCAAGCGCGGTGCGGCCGGGGTGCAGCGAGGCGACAGCGGGGGACACGGCACGGGGACACGGGCACAGCTGGGGACGGCACCACACGTTACCTTACAGTGAGGGGCCGCGGCTTGGAGGAGCCCTGCGGGGGGGACGAGGAGCTGCTTTTGTTCAGGTCCTCCAGCGACCGCTCCTTGCCCTTGTCAGAGCCGGGGCTGTTCTCTGAGCTCTCCATGTCATACCTGGTGGCCCGTGGGGACATGGGGACGGGTGAGACGTGGCACCCCAACACGGGCAGATGCCCCTCGGGGATGCTGGGGATGTTCTGCCCAGCCCCAGCCATGGAGCACTGCACCCCCAGGGACCGCCCCAGGCCTGCTGAGCCCCAGGGGAGGCTGGTCCCAGCCTTGGGGACAGGGGACCCCGTGGGGACGTACGCGACAGAGCACTGGGCAAAGGCGAGGTACTCCAGCAGCACGTCCAGCCCCTTGTTCTCCTCGTTGAGGAACTCCTGGACCCAGCTGGAGGGTGCAGAGGGTTAGTGGGCTCTGCCAACCCCCACATCCTCTTTCCCCCTGTGCCCAGACACTCAGCAGAGCCACCCCTGCTCTGAGGTCCCCAGCAAAGGTGGAACATGCTGGGAACACGAGGTGGCACCATGAGCTGGCATTTCTCGGAGGCCAGGTGAGTGCCACGGTGAACCTGATATATGGGGGACACAGCCCAAGGGCTCTCCTGCCACCACTGCCACTGTTGCCACCACTGCCACGACAGGACAGCCTGGCCCTGGGGACAGTAGGCACCCACCACAAAGGGTCAGGACAGCCAGCGTGGGGGCAGGGCCCCTCCTGGCACCTGGGGGTGCCAGAGAGCCATAATGGGGTTCAGACCCCCCAGCACCCTCAGCCTCCCATCAGAACCCTCCTTAGGGGGCAGGATGAGGCCACAGCCTGCACATGCTGCTGTCACCCTCCAGGCAGAGCCAGCACACGTCCATCCCCATCCCAGGGACGGTGGCAGCAGCCGGGTGACAATGCCACCCCACCTTACCCGATGTAGTTGGTCCTCAGGGAGATCTCCAGCTCCCGGAGCACCTGCGTGGACTCCTGCACTCGCCTCTTGAACTGTGGGATGGGGACAGCCATTGGCACCATCCCTGTGCCCAGCCTGGCACGGGGCCCAGGGGACCGGGGTGCAGCGGGGCCCCCTCACCTTCCTGCTGACACCTCCCGTGTCCAGGTAGCTCTTCAGCTTCTGGATGTAGGCGGAGGGAGGGTTCTTCACCTGGAAACGCTCCTGCGAGCCCCAGAGAGAGGCTGAAACTGGGCCACCCGCTGCAGCACGGGGACCTGCCACTGTCCCCACAGCAGCCACAGTGTCCCTGTCCCCACCCCAGCCGCATCAGTGCTTAATGAGGTTAATGAGGTGCTGTGTCAGTAACGAGATGGATGTCAGTGCTTGGTACGGCCAGACTGATACCCAAACCGTGCCACGAGTGGCACCTGGGGACAGGGACAGCACGGGGGGGCTGTGAGCTTGGACCTCACCTGGTCACAGATCAGCTCCCACTTCTTCTCGTTGTCGTACTGGTTAAGCAGCTTCATCTTGTCCGGGGGCAGGTTCATGGAATTCTGTGGGTGAAGGGGGTCAGCGCTGGGGGTCACCCCAAAACCCCCCTGGGATGCAGCACCCTCTGCTCAGCGAGCACTGGGAGATGGGGATACCCATGGAGCATGGGGACACTGGTGGGACATGAAGATTCCAGAAGATGGGGACACTACTGGGACAACGGGGACAGTGACAGAACAATGGGGACAGTGGTGGGAGGATGGGATCACGGTGGAAAAATGAAAGCAGCATTCTCAGGATGGGGGCCCTGGTGGGATGATGGGGACATTGGGAGGTTGGGAACACCACTGTTCCCAGGATGTGAGCATCCCATGGACCCATCAGTAATGTCCCCACCCGAGGGTCCCCAAGGCGGGGGACAGGAGGAAGAACTGAGTCCTGAGTGCCCCATGTGCCCCGCCTCAGCCAGCCCAGTCCCAGCAGGGCCACACGGGGTGAGGGACAGGGACATGACTGGTGACAACAGAGGGACCCAGGAGCCTGGGCTGTGCTTGGGGGTCACCCCTGAGTGCCCCCAGCACAGGTGCGTGACGAGCCCGTCTGGGGAAAGCAGCGTTTGAGAGACAGTGATGGCAGGGCCGGGCTCGTCCCCACGTCCCTCCCTGCCACCCTTGCACAGCCCCAGCCCCCACGGCCACCACAGGACGTGACGTGGCTTCCGCTCGGCACCGGGCGCTGCCAAAACCGCCCCCGCCACAGGCAGGACCCGGCTCCTGCCCCGGCTGCTCTGCTGGGGGACACCCTGGGGCACCTCCATGGGACCCCTCCATGGCCTGGGCCAGGCTGCAGCTCAGCTCGGCTCACAGGTGATTGATTTCAGTGAAAGACCCAGGTTTTGGTGCCCCAGCTCAGCTGGAGAGCACCTGCAGGCTGGCACGATGGCACGTGGAGCAGTGCACAGCCCCAGGCCACCCCTACATCCCAGTCTTGGGGCTCCCTGAGGAGGAGCATGGGGATGTGGGGTGCATGCCATGCTGGAACAACCACATCCTTGGAGGAAGGCATCTCCCAGGGCTTTGGTTACCCACAGAAGAGCAGGTCCAAGGGGAGAGGTCCCACTGTGGTGGGCAGGAACAGAAACCTCTCCCCCTCCTCCAGGGAGGACCTGTCAAGCTGCTTTCACAAGAAGCCAAAATGAGGAGCTGTGGGTGGGGAGGAGCTGGGCTGCGCTGGGGCTGATGGCACGAAGGGCTGGGCAGGGGGACAATCAGGCTGCACGGTCAGAAATGGCCTCACTGTGAAGCCACTGGAGCTGCTGGGTTGTGGAGCAGGCAAGGTGACAGCAGCACCTGGCTGTCACCACTGCTGGTCCCAAGCTGCCATCCTTGGGATGGCTGAGGGTCAGACTGAGGGACAGAGCTGTGCCAAGAGGGATCACACACCCAGACACCCCAGTGTGGGCTCAGCCACACTCACGGCACCTCTGTGGGACCCTGTTGGGTGCCCTTGGCACAGAGGGGATGGTGGCACCTGCCACACGGACCAGCTTTAAACCATCACACATGGGACCTGAACCAAGCAGGACCTCGGGTGGGACAGGACCCAGCTCGAGGGTGGGGCAGGGCTGTCCCCGTGGAGCTGGCTGTGCCCCGAGCCCCGCGGGCCCTCCCCTGCGGGCAGGATGTGGCACAGGTCGGGTACAAACTGGGTGGTGGCTCTGTCCCGGGTGGGCTTGCGGTGCCGGGGAGGAAGCGACTCCGCCGAGGAGCCCCAGCCGGCAGCACAAAGAAACCGGCTCTCATTTCCTGCCGGGAGGGGGGACCGCTGCTGCGGGAGGTGGGGCAGGGCGGGGGCTGTGGGGCTGGGTGGGTGATGTGGGGCTGGGTGGGTGATGTGGGGCAGTGGGTGATGTGGGGCAGGGTGGGTGATGTGAGGCAGAGTGGGTGATGTGGGGCAGTGGGTGATGTGGGGCAGGGCAGCAGCCAAGCACCCCACAGGCGTCAGAGGAAGGACGTGGTCCTCCTCATCTTCCTCCTTTGGGGACAAGGATGGAGCAGGCACAGCGGCCTGCCCCAGCAGCCACATCCACCTGCCGTCATCAGCGCCCTCATCCCGCCCTGCCCGGGGCTCCCCAGCAGCCTCACAGCCACCACGTCACTGAGTGGGTGCCACCACATGTCCCCCCACAGCCCTGCTGTGACACAAAGTGCCACAGAGCCTGCAGGGCCACCCCAGCACCAGGAGGAGCCTGGCGGGGCCCAGCACCAGCTCTGGGGTGAGCCAGGCTTTGCCCTCTGCTGAAACCAAGGCCAGGGGAGGTGAAGCCGCACCAACATCATTTTCTGGTACAAAAGAACCTTTTGCTGTCATGGCTGGCAGGGACGGAGCTATTTTGGGTGTCAGACACCTCCTTTTGTTCCACACGTGAGCGGGCAGCGCCGGGCCGAGCCGAGCCCTGCACCAGGGCTGGCACGGAATGTTCTGGCATCCCCGGGGAAGGGCTGAGCGTGAGCCACGCTGAGCCCTGGCAGAGCTGTCACCGGGCACGGGGGTGTGTGCACAGAGAGGGCAGGGCAAGCCTTGGCAGCGCGTGTGGTGGGACAACATCCCAGCCTAGCGCCAGGCACAAAATCCTGCCACGGGAGGGGACAGGGCAGGGAAGTGCCCCAGAGGGCAGCTCAGGGGCTGGCCCCAGCATCTCCAGCTGCCCGGGTGACCAAGGGACCGTGCCACTCCTGGGATGCTCCGTCCCTCCGGGCCGCAGAGCACCCCTGAGCTGGTTTGGACATGCCCAGTCCTGAGGTGCCAGCTGTCCCACAGTGTCCCCTCCAGTGCCCCTGACTGCCACTGGAGCTGTTCTCCTGCCCCTTCCCAGGGCTCAGCGCAAGGCACGGAGCAGGACCAGGCCCAGCCAGGGCCCCCTGGCCCCCCTGATGCACAAACTGGGCTGGGGGACACTGCCAGGACCAGCTCATCCCAGCAGGGACTCCCTGGATCCAGCCAGACCCAAACCCACCCGGTGTGCCCAGGATGACTGGGGGTGGTGGGCCGGGCTGGGCTGGGCCGGGCTGGGCTGTGTGGCTGCCTGCGGCTCCAGCTCTATTTTAAGAACAAGCAGAAGCTGCTGTAGCTGGAACCAGGGAGAGGAGCCTGATCCCACTCATCCCTGCTGGGGGCCTGGCTGCCCACCCTGCCCTGGGATGTCGTCCTGGCTCACCCGGGCTGGATCCAGCAGCACAGGAGGGCTCCTGCACCAGGACATCTCCAGGCCCTGATGCAGCAGCTGGTGGCTCGCAGGCAATGTCCCTCCCAGGACACAGGTTCCCCCTGGGGACACCCTGGTGCAGCCCCACATCCCCCAGCCAGGCTGGGCCACCGTGCTGGAGATGGATCCAGCAGAAGCTGAGGACCAGCTTTGTTTCCTGGTTGAGCCGAGGCTGACACCGTGGCCAGGGCTGGCTGGTGACCCGTCCTGCTGCTGGGGCCAACAGCACATCTGCAAACATCTGCAAACATCTGCAGTGGTGACGTTGGCCTCGCACTCCCCCAGCTCCTGGGAGAAGAGGCAGCAAAGCCCCACCAGGCAAAGCTCCCGGCTGGAGCAGCCCCTGTCCCAGCCAGCCACTGCTTGGTTTTGACTCCACCACACCTCAACTCACAATTCCATTAATATGTTCCCAATTAATGCCCCTTGACATGCAAAGGGAGGGAAATCCTGCTTGCTTCTAGCAGGAGTATCTGGGCATCCCTATCCCAGCAGGAAAGATGCTCTTCCTCTGCTCCATCCCAAAAATCCACCTGGTCATATCCCAAACTACTTGGCACGGGACAACCCTCCCATTGCTCTGCCAAAGCAGCATCTGCCACAGTGCCCCAGCTGGGAAGAAGCCAATTTTTGAGAATGAAGTTTTGGGAAACTAAATTCCCGTTTCTTGGCACGGAATGGGTGTATCCCCTTCCCAGCAGCAGTTTGGATCCCCTGGGCTCCTCCCTGGGCCTTTCTGCCAAGGCTTGGCACCACCAGCTCTCCCAGTTTGGGATGTCCAGCCCAAAAGTGATTTGCACTGAGCTCTCGTGGCATCACTGCAACCATGGCAACGTGTGAGGTCTGGATCGAGTCCCACCAGGAGATTCCCAACTCATCACCACCTGCTCCACCACGGAGCTCAGGAGGCAGAAAAGTTGAAGGCAGAGCCAGGGGATGTGTTTGTGCCGGGTGAGGGCAGAGGGACCCCCTGTCCCCATCCCCCCGGGGTTCTGCTGCCCCCACAGCCACGAGAATGGGGAAGGGAGTGTGAAAGGAGGAAGCAGAATTGGGACAGCCGCTTTCACAAGACACCCGCTTCCCGTCGGGCCGTGCCCAGCCCCTGGTGCCCCGTTTCCTACAGAAGGCCTTTCCCTCGGGATGAGGGCAGGCAAGGCGGTGCTGCGGGCCTGCAGCGGCGGTTTGCCCTTCTCCGATCATTTTTTGGTTGAGGATTTCCAACCTGCCGGGCCCAGCCCGCTCAAAGTGCCGCTTCCTGGGGCCTCACAGCGGAAACACCCCGAGTCCCTTCCTGCCGCCGCTGCCGTGACAGCCGGAGCCACCGGGGGCACCGCCACCCCCCAGCCGCCTGCCACCCCGGTGTCCCCCGGCAAAGCCTCCCGGAGCCCCGCGGGGTCCCGCCGAGCAGCGCCCGCCGCATCGCCCCCTGCAGCCGCGGGCACCGCTCCCGCTGCCACGCTCATCCCAAATAATCCCCTACACTGCACGAGGCAAAACAGCTCCCAGGGAATTTGTGCTGGGGGCTGGGGTGGGCACCCAGGCGGGCAGATCCCGGCAGGTCCAGCCGAGCGCATCCCGGCGTGCCGGCATGGTGGAAGCTGCGCCCGGCACGGCATCGGCTCCATCTCCCGCGGGGGGATTAAAGCAGCGGCTCCTTTTCCTCGGAGCGTTTCTGGGGAGGGCACGGGCAGGGCTGGAGCGGGCGGCGCGGCGGCGGGACCCGGCCCTCCCGGCGGGAAGGTCACGGCCAGCCCGGCCCGCTCAAGGACGGAGCGAGCGGGAGCGGCGGGGAACTGCGGGAGAGCGGCTCCCGGGCTGCCATCCCTCCCTCCATCCTTCCCTCCATCCCTTCATCCCTCCATCCATGCCACGGGAACGCGCTCGGCATCGCCGCTGCCCACCGCGGGGCTTGCCCTGCTCCGGGGAGGAGGAAGAGGAGGAAGAGGAGGGGAGCGAAGCATCGCCATCCGCAGCCCCGGCTGCTCGCGGCGCGCTCCGGCCCTGCCGCCGATCCCGCCATGGCGGAGCCCGCCCGGGCCCCGGGACTCGGGGTCACCCCAAGCACTTGGGGCTGGGGTCCCCCCAAGGTGAGAGCGAGGAGGGGAGGCAGCGGCTGGGGGTCATCCCAGGGCAGGCTCAGCGTCCCCGGGGAAACGAGGTGACAGCGGGGCAGTCATCATTATCAATAAGAACACCAATTAAATAATAAATCTAATAATTAGTAGAACGACGGAGTAGTAACAATGCGATCGTTACAATGCTGATAACGGCGGTAACGCTGCTAGCGATGCTGGGGCCGGCAGGGATGCTGAGGGACCCCCACCCTGTCCCCCTGTCCCCCGGGGTGTGCCGGCCCCTCCCGCCGGACCCCGTGTCGTGCCCGGTGCCCCGCGCTCCCGGCCCCGCTCACCAGGACGCGGCCGAAGCGCTCCTCCAGCTCGGCGGCGCCGGGCATGGGCTGCCGGGGGGGCGGCGCGGCGGCGGGGGGGCCCCGGGCTGCGGGCGGTGGTCGCGGGGCTCCCGCGGGGCCGCGCCCCCCTCCAGCCCCCCGGCCGCGTTGCCCATGGCGGGGCTCCGAGCCCAGCTTCGGCCGAGCCCGTCCCCGCCGCCGCTCGCCGCCGTTTGCAACTTCTGCGGGGCGTTCTGGCGCTATAAACGCCCCGCCCGGCCCGGCCCCCGCCCCGGCCGCAGCCAGAGGCGGCCCCGGCACCTGCTCGGCTGCAGGCTGGGAGCGGAGCGGCGCTGCCCCGCGAGGCTTACTGCAGCCCGGTTCATTTATTTTATTATTTTATTTTATTTTATTTTATTTATTTTATTTTATTATATTTTAATTTAATTTGATTTTTATTTTATTTTATTTATTTTATTTTATTATATTTTAATTTAATTTTTATTTTATTTTATTTATTTTATTTTATTATATTTTAATTTAATATAATTTAAATTTTATTTTATTATTTTATTTTATTCTATTCTATTCTATTCTATTCTATTTATTTTATTTTAATTTATTTTATTTTTATTTATTTATTTATTTTATTATTTTATTTTATTCTATTTTATTCTATTCTATTTATTTTATTTTAATTTATTTTAATTTTATTTATTTATTTATTTATTATTTTATTTTATTTATTTTATTTTATTATTTTAAACTTTATTTTAGACTTACTTTTTATATTATCTTAAATAAAATTTAATATTAAATTTAATTATTAATAATTTATATTATACTAAATAAAATGTATTTTCTATTTTAATTTTATATTTTATTTTTTTATTTTTATTAAATTTTATTTATTTTTAAAATATTGTTCTTAAGTGTTTTTATTTTGCTATTACACTTTATTTTATTATTGCACTTTATTTTATTTTTATTACTTTCCCCCCCTTATTTTATCCTGTCTTATTTATTTCATTTAATTCTATACTTATTTTTAAATTTACTTTCATTCTACTTATCTATTCAATTTTTCTTTCATTTTTATGTTCTATGTATGCATTATTTCATTACATTTTACTTAACTACTTTATTTACATTTTATTTCATTCTATTATTTATTTTATTTTTAAATTTCCATTTATTTATGTTTTTATTTAAGCTTTTTGTTTGACTTTCTTTTTATTTTACAGTAATTTATTACTGTTTTATATAATTTATTTTTATTTAATTTCAGGTGTTTGTTATATTTCATAATAAATTTAAATTTATAATTAATAGTAAATTTATTTTTATTTTATTTTATTCACTCTGATTTTTGGGCCAAAGCCCAACAGTTTGGGATTCTCCTGCCCTGCCACAGGCCGGGGCTCACAAGGGCAGGTGACAGGGCTGGGCTGGCACCCAGAGTGTCCCCCAGCTGTCCCAGAGGGGCCACGGTGCCCCCGCGCCGGGCAGAGCTCCCTGGGCAGGGGACCGGGATGTGGCACCGGATTCACCCCCGGGCACGGGGCACATCCCGGGGTCCTCTGTGAGTGCCAGGGCAGCAGGGCACGGCGCAGAGTGGCTGAGAGTTGGTGACATTCATCAAAATTGAGGGAGATTTGGTGAAATTCACCAAAATGTGGTGGATTTGCTAAGATTTTATGATGATTCACCAAAATTCGGTGAGATTCGGTGAGATTTTGCAAGATTTTGTAAGATTCACCAGAATTTAGTGAGATTTGGTAAGGCTTGATGAGATTCACCAAAATTTGGTGAGATTCAGTGAGATTTGGTGATATTCACAGAAATTTGGTGGTATTTGGCAAGATTTGGTCAGATTCCCCAAAAGTTAGTGAGATTGTATGAGATTCACCAAAATTTGGCAAGATTCGGTGATATTTGATGAGATTTGGTGAGAATTTTGGTGACATTTGGTGACATTTGGTGACATTTGGTGACATTTGGTGACATTTGGTGACGTTTCGTGCTGTTCACGAGGCTCGCCAGGACTGGGTGCACCCCCCGAGTTTTGGGGGCATTTGCTGAACCCCGAGTTTGAGGAGAGGCGCGCCGAGGGACGGGGACGGCCCCAGCGCGGATCGCGGCGGCCCCGGGGCATCCAAACCCCGTGCCCAGCCCCGGGGCCGCCACACCCGCGCCGCCGGCCCGGCAGGACCTGCCGGTGTCACCAGGTGCCACCAGGTGCCACCACGGCGCCGCGGGGACCGGGCGGACGCGCCGAGCCTGTTCTGCCCCCACCCTCTGCCAACCCCAAATTCCGGCAGGGGACACGCCAGGACAGCGGGCACCCTGTCCCTCGTGTCCATCGCATCATCCCCGGGGGTTTGGGAGCCGGGAGAGGACTCGGGGACAGCTCAGCAGCGCCAAAATTGGGGCCAGCCATGCTTGGGGTTGTTCTGATCTCCCAAGGCTGGATTCTGCAGTCAGAACCTCTGCCGTTAAATATTTCAGCCGCTCGTTAAATATTTCACGTTTCATTTCCCGGTCCAGGTTTTTAAGGGAAGGCACTGCAGTCCTCTGTGGGCACAGGGACATCCCGAGTGGTCCCAGAGGAGAATATTGTCCCCTGGAGCACGTGTGGGACCGGGGCTTCATCCCACACTGGGCACAGGGCACTCCAAGCTCTGGGACCTCCATGAGCGCCTTGCTGCATGCCGGGATCATGGAATCATGGAATGGTTTGGTTTGGAATGGGCCTCGAACAGCCCCCAGTGCCACCCCTGCCATGGCAGGGACACCTCCCACCAGCCCGGGCTGCTCCGAGCCCCGTCCTGGGACACTTCAGGGAGGGGCAGCTCCTCCTGGGCTCGGCTGGGAAGGCTCAGAGGGCCCGGGGCTCTGCGGCCCCAGCAGAGCAGGGCCGGGCCAACAGTTCCATCTCCTGGCCGCGGGGAGGGCTGCGAGGGGCAGGGCTGGGGAGCCGCCTGTGACACGGCCCTGGGGCCGTCCTGGGCACGGGCAGGGGTCTGGGGTCCTGCTGAGCCCCACCGGCATGGCACCGAGCTGGAAACGGGGAGCCAGGCTGGGCTTTGGGCTGCTGGAGGTGCAGGGCAGTCCTCACACCAGTGGCAGCAGGAGGACGAGTTGGGGGAGCATCCTGACCTCCCCCAACCCTGCCCTGGGCACTGGGATGTCTCTGGAGGAGCATCCTGCCCTCCCTCACCCCTGCCCTGGACACTGGGATGTCTCTGGAGGAGCATCCTGACCTCCCCTAACCCTGCCCCGGGCACTGGGATGTCTCTGGAGGAGCATCCTGCCCTCCTTCATCCCTGTCCATCCTCATCCCAAGCACTGGGATGTCTCTGGAGGAGCATCCTGCCCACCCTCAACCCTGCCCTGGGCACTGGGATGTCTCTGGGGGAGCATCCTGCCCTCCCTCACCCCTGCCCTGGGCACTGGGATGTCTCTGGGGGAGCATCCTCCCCTCCTTCATCCCTGCCCTCCCTCATCCCAACCCCAAGCACTGGGATGTCTCTGGAGGAGCATCCTGCCCTCCTTCATCCCTGCCCATCCTCATCCCAAGCACTGGGATGTCGCTGGAGGAAGGAAACCCCCCAGACTGCCCTGGGTGGTGGTGGGATTCACTGCTCTTCGTGGTGATGGTTCTTGAGCTCCTGTGGCCTCCAAGAGCCTCCTGACCCCTCAGAAGCTGGCAGGGACCTTGGGAAGTGAGGAGAGCCCCTGGGTGTCCTCTGCACCTGAGGAGCTGTGCTGGCAGTGAGTGCACCCAGCTGGGTGTTCCTGGTGCTCCTCCAGCACACCCACCCTCTCTCCACCGAGCCACCCTCACCTCTGGCCTGGCCATGGGGACACGGGTCTGCTCCCTTGCACCACATCCTTGTCCCCACCCTGTCCTCGTTGTCCCATGTTTTCTCTCCTCTCACTGCTTTCCTGGTGTTCACCTGGCAGCTCCAGTTAGCCCAGGGCTGGTCAATTCCTGGGATAAAGTCCTTAAAAAACCATTCTAGAACCAGCACATTCAAATAATCATCTTCAGTGTGTGCCCAGGGCTACATTTCTTACATTAAAGGTGATTACAAACACTTTAATTTGTTTTCTTAATTTCAATTCCCTGGAAAACACGAGCAGGAATGGATTTTTTCCCCTGAATTAGCAGGTCCACAAAAAAACCCTATTTCTTGATGGTAGAGCTACCCAGGCAATATTCCCTCATCCAAGCAAGAATTCCCAGTTTAGATTGTGCAGCCTGAAGGATAAAGCTGCAGAAACTCGAGGGTGTTTGGACAGCTGACCCCACCTCATGTTCCTCAAAGAGCTAGAGCAGGGGGTACCTGACATACCTGAGATAAGACACCTGAGATAAGGTGGGAGCCCCTTCTCGAGATTGCCCAGGTGACATCACTCATCCTTCCTACCCCCATGGAGCACCCTGAGGATCTCAGGACATTCTCTGGGGTTGTGTGGCTGAAGTGAAGGTCAACCCAAGCGTCTGCCTTGGTGGAAGGACAAGATCTTAATTCCTTTGCCTCTGAGATCCTGAGATTAGAATTCTATTTTCAGCACTGCTGAATTTCTTGGTGGCTGTAACGAGTTCCAGGTCTAATTCACTCCATTCCTTCCTGAATTACAGACTTTACTGTGTGAAGCCATGGCAAGCAGCAGAAGGAGAAGGAACACGTGTCTTCTGCCAGTAAACAAGCTTCTCCTGTAGGTAAATCAGATTTTTATAGTATAAATACAGGTTAAGAGAGAAAAAGTTCACGCCTGGAGTCCTGGGACTTGGATTTTCAGGGCTACGAGGAGTTTGGAAAGCAGAGGAAGATAAACATCGTTCCCAACCAGAAATATTTTGGTGATGTCACATGGTAAATAGCTCATCAAGGGATTGATTATAGCAACTTGGTGTTTGCTTATCATCTGCAGCTTGAGCACATTCAGTGTGCTCCCCAGGGATGGGGTTGGAATCTGGGTAACGAGGAAAACACGGAATAGATGGAGGGTAAAAACTGGGATGTGGTGTGTGGGAAAGGGGCTCCTCAGCCTCCCTCTGCTGCTCTGGCATGGGAAATGCTGGGGGCAGAATATGGAATATTTTTGTTTGTTTTTTTGTTTCTAAGGAGTTTCTTCTCCAGCTAGGAGCAGGGAACCCACGGCTCCTGCTGAGTGCAGGGGAGGAAGAGGAAGCAGGTGAGTTCTGTCAGGATGTCTGTCCCAGCTGCTGCACCCTGCCAGGAGCAGGACTCGCTGAGGCTGGAAAAGCCCTCTGAGATCAGGCCCAGCCATTCCCCAGCCCTGCCAGGGCCACCACTGACCCCTGTCCCCAAGTGCCACATCCACAGGGCTTTTAAACCCCACCCCTGCCCCGGGCAGCTGCGTCAGGGCTGGAGAACCCTCTGGGGGAAGAAATTTTCCCTGATCTCCAATCCAACCTGCCCTGGCCCAGCCTGAGCTGTCCCCTCTCCTCCTGTCCCTGTCCCCGGCTGTCCCCTCCTGGCAGGAGCTGTGCAGAGCCACCAGGGCCCCCCGAGCCTCCTTTGCTCCAGGGAACTTTGGGGATTTCCAAAAGGGCTCCCCCTTGCCAGCAGCAGGTCCATCACCAGCTTCCAAATGAAGTTCCTGCTGAAATTCCATCCTCCATTTCCAACAGGAGCCAAGAGCACCCAGCCCCGGGCAGGTGACAATTGCCACCCCCCGTGCCCTCCTGCTCCCCGTGGTCACACGGGCCCAGCAGCCACGGACACCAGCAACAGGAACAGGCTTTTGCCACAAAAACTCAGCCAAGGCCTGGGCGCTGACAAGGCCCTGGCAGCTGCAGAGGGTGTCCCACAAGGAGGGGACAGGGAGGTGACACATCCCTCCCCTGAGCCCAAGGGAAGAGCCACAGTGGCCCCAGCCAAGGCTGCAGGCACCGGGGCTGCTCTGCCCTCTCTGGAGGCTGCAGGACACCAAATCCTGCCTGGATCCTGCTGCTCTGATGGGCACCAGCTTCCAGAGGGTTCAGCAAAGCGTCCAGAGCAGATTTGTCACCGCTGCTCCAGCAGCAGCTGCCAGGCTTGGTGTCCCTTTCAGCTGGGTCCCAGGCAGAGCTCCCAGCCGTGTCCCCCCTCGCTGTGGGTGGATTTGGGTCTGTTTAATAAAAAAAGCAGTTTCCTCCTGGCCTCTGCTGCAGGCAGAGCAGGAGGCAGGGCAGAAGCCGTGCATTGTTTGGCACAGCTGGAGCCTGGCCCTGGGCACAGCTCTGGGCTGCCCCACCCAGGGCACCTCCAGGAGGCCTCCGGCATGAGCAGGTGCTGGAGGAGAGCAGCACCCAGCCCTGATCCAGCAGGAGGAGGTTTCCATGGAATCACACCCTGGTTAATGCTGGAAGGAGCCTCTGGAGGGCACCCGGTCCCCATCTCTGCTCCAGGACTGCCCAGACAGAGTCTGAACATCTGCAAGGATGAAGAGCACACAACGTCCTGGGCACCCTGTGCCAGTGCTCCATCAGCAGTAAAAAGCGTTTTCCTGAGGTTCAGATGGTGTTCCAGGTGGTGCCCATGGGCTTTGGGCACTGCTGAGAAGAGCTTGGTTTCACCCTCCCTTCAGGTCCTGATGTGGGGTGAGCACATCAGTACTCTGAGCTTCTCTTCCCCAGACAGCCCCGGCTCTCCCAGACATTCCTCGTGGGTGGGGAGCTCCAGTTTCTCCTTCATCATCCCCTGTGTGTCCATGGCACTGCTGCAGTGGGCCCCCAGCACACTGCACAGCCCTGCGGGGTGGGCTCAGGGCTTTGGGAATCACCCCTCCCTCCTCCTGCAGCCCAGGGCGCATTCACCACCTTCCCCCAAGGGCACACGAGGGCAGTGCCCACCCCAGTGCCCAGCAGGACCCAGCCCAGGCTCTGTCCCAGCTGGGTGTCCCTCAGTGTGTGCCTGGGTTCGTCCCCAGGGCTCCCCAACACCAAGTTCTGCCTCCTCAGGCCAAGGCTGGAGGTCTCACAGCCATTCCCAGCCCCACCAGTCCCAGAAAAGGACAGAGCAGAGGCCTCAGGGCTGCTCCTGGCTCCTGTGAGCTCAGGACACGATGACAACCCCTCTGGTAAGGAAGGAATTCTCTTCTGAGCAGGGAATACCCAGGGCTGCTGTGCCCATCACTCCTGGAGACGGCAGGGCTGGTGGCCCAGGGGCCAGGAGGCTGATGCCAGCTCCCCAGGGGTGGGCACAGCCCGAGCCCCCCTTCCCTACCTGTCCAGCGAGTTTGGGGAAACAGGAGCAGCACAGGGAGGGCAGAGATTGTCAGTGCTTTATTGGTGGCAGGTCCTGGCAGGGACAGCAGCCCAGGGACCCCCGAGCTCAGCCCCAGGGGGGTCTGGCTCTGCCCCAGGCTGGCCAGCCCACGCTGGGAGCTGCTGGAGGGGCACCATGCCCACCTCTAGGTGCTCCAGGGTGGGGGTGACAGGGCCACGCTGTCACTGCCCTGAGGCTGCCGTGCTGCCACCATCCTCCTCCTCCTCCTCCTGGTCTGGCAGCAGCTCCGAGGGGCTGGCACCTGGCTGGGGCAGAGCCCTGCAGGGCTGTTCCTCATCTCCCAGGCCTGCAGGAGATGAGCAGAGGGAATGGTGAGGAGCTGGCTGGATCCAACCCCTGGAGGTGCAGGAGGCACCCGTGGGGATCTGCTGTGGTCACAGAGGGGGATGAGCCTGTCCAGGGCTGCATCAGAGACCCCCCACAGGGATGGGGATGGAGAGAACCTCGGGCCCTGGAGCAGAAATTCCACCCTGGGGCCATGCCTGGGAGTTCAGGGGCACCCAGGTGGAGTGAAAAGAGGAGGAGGCTGCCCAGGAGCACAAGGTGGAGATGGCAGAGCAGAGAGAATGGGCTGGGGGTGGAAATAGGGAATGGTGCCTCAGAGGCCATCACCTTCCTCATCCTGAGCCTCTGACGCCTTCCCCTCCAGGCTCTGGGACAGCAGGGTCAGCCTCTTGAGAGCCAGCAGGGCTTTCCCTGTTTTCTGGAGGGAGGAGAAGGGGCACTGAGCCCCTCAGCAGAGCCACCCCCATGTCCCCATCACCCCACCAGGTACCTGCCACTTCCTCCGTGCCAGGAACTGCCTGATCCTCTCCTTGGACAGCACCTTGGGGCTGCTGGGCTGGGGCTGCTGCAGCCAGGGGTGCAGCAGAGCCCCTGCACTGGGGAGCCGCCGGCTGCAGCACACAGAGGGGTCATGGGGGGCTCCTCCACCAAACAGGCAGAGCTTTCCTTCACCCACCCCCTCAGCACTCCAAAATCCTGCCCAGCTCCAGCTGAGCAGCCCACAGGCCCTACCAGGGCTCCTTCTGCAGCAGCTGGCTGATGAAGTCCTTGGCTTGCTGGGAGATCTCCGAGAAGGTCTCCTCATCAAAGTCCCACTGGGCAGCTGTGACATTGCTCAGGGTCTCCATGTCAGTGTCCCCCTGGAAGGGTGACTCCCCACTCAGCCTGAAGAGGTGACCCAGGGCATCAGCGAGAGCTCAGCCCCCTCCAGCCCAGCCTGCCCCGCCCAGGAGGGCACTCACAGGATGTAGCAGATGACACCGACGCTCCACATGTCTGTGGAGAAGCTCACGGGCTCAAAGGCGACCACTTCTGGAGCCATGAACTCGGGGGTGCCGTGCAGCACCTTCACAGGGGTGCCTGCAGCTGCAGAGAGGAGGCAGGAGGCCAGTTGGGATGGCCCTGGGGCAGAGGACACACCAACACAGCCCAGGTGGAGCTGCCACCCTCCTCCTGTTGCAGCTCTTGGTGCTCGCCAAGAATCTCTGTGTGCCACCCACCCACGGGCACGGGGGTCCTGGGGGTCTCCACCTCTGCAGCAGCACTGGGGACACCCAGCCTTGCCCAGAGCATGGGTGGTGGCCAGGAAGGGGCAGGCAGGAGGACACCGAGCTCCTCGCTGCTGTGCCAGGCCAGCTCTGTCCCGTGGCAGTGCCAGTCCCCGCCCTGCACCCCCGGAGCCCCTTGGTGCTCACCCAGCCGCCGTGCCAAGCCGAAGTCGATGATCTTGACCCGGTGGCTGCCGGGGCTGACGCAGACGATGTTCTCGGGTTTGAGGTCCAGGTGGACGATGGCCTGGCCGTGCATGAAGTGCAGCCCCTCCAGGATCTGCCGCACGTACTGGGCGCTGCTGGGCTCCGTGTGCTCGAAGTCGTCGTCCACGATGCGCTCAAAGAGCTCCCCGCCTGCCACGCTGGGGACAGCCAGGTGCTGGGGACCCTCTGGGGTCTCACCAGCCCCGGGGAGGGGAAGCCCAGCAGAGAGCCCAGAGAACCCAGACTCAGAGCTCTGGGAGCATCTCTCCACCCTTATCTCCAGGAGCTGCGGGTTCCCCATCCATCCCACAGCAGCACCCCATGGCACAGGGACCCCTCCCCACCTGCCACTGTGGGGACAAAAAGGTGCTGGGGACCCCTCACGCTGGGGACAGCCGGGTGCTGGGGACCCCCTTGGGATCTACCAGCCCTGAGGAGGGGAAGCCCAGCAGAGAACCCAGGCTCAGCACTCTGGGAGGACCTCACCACTCGTAGCTCCAGAGTCACCAGGTTCTCCATCCCTCCATCCATCCATCCATCCATCCATCCATCCATCCATCCATCCATCCATCCATCCATCCATCCCACAGCACAGGGACCCCTCCCCACCTGCAGAGCTCCCCAGCAGAGCCCAGCACTGCCCCTCACTCACTACTCCATGACCATCACGAGCTCGGCGGGGCCCTGGAAGGCGTCGAGGCACTGCACGAGGCGCGGGTGGTGCAGGAGGTTCATCAGCTCCACCTCGGCCCGCGCCGCCTGCCTCTCCCTCGCCGTGCGCGTCCGGAAATACTTCCCAGCCCGGATTCTGCCCGTGGCCTTTTCCTGCAGCCGGTACACAGTCCCGAATTTCCCCCTGGGGCAGAGGAGGGTGAGGGATGGAGGAGCCACCGCCACCAGGGCTGTGCATGGACAGCCAGGGCCTCGCCCAGGGTGGGGACACGGGGCCTCACTCACTCCCCCAGCTTCTCCAGCTGCGTGTACACATCCGAAACCTTGTCCTGGCTGTTGATGACCACGTCACGGTGTTCAAAGGCCTCCTCAGCTCCTGGGGGATGGATTCAGGTGGGCCATGCAGGGATCCCCCCTGCTCTGGGGACCAGGGGCCTGTCTTCCCCTCCAGTGCCAATTTCTGTGTCCCCCCCGCTCCTCCTGGGACCAACCACCCTCCCCACCCAGCGTGGATGGCACCTGGGGAGAACATGGCCACAGGAGCTCCTGGGGCAGCCCAGCACCCTGCAAGTCAGGTTTGGGGTGCAAGGTGCTTTTAGGATCAAAAATCCAAGAGAAATGGGGCCAGGATGGGATGGAGATTGGTGCTGATGGGGGGATGGACAGGGTCACACCATTGCTGGGGTCCCCTGTGCCTCCCTGGGGCTCTGCTGTACCTTCTGCCTGGGACATGGTGGTGCCACCGGCTCCTCACGGGGTGCTGGCACAGTCAGGGCAGGCTCAGGGTGTGTCCCCCTGGCTGGGACAGGGGTGCTGGGGCAGGCAATGGCTGTGTCTCTGCTCCAGCTGCTCCCTGGGGCTCTGCACCTTCTCCCTGCCACAGAAGACCACTGGCTTCACTCCACCAGCACCCACACTCCCCATCCCCCTTGAGGGGTCCCTCCTGATGGACCCAAAAGGACCAGATTTTAAAGTGAAGCCCCTTTTTTGGATGGGGACAACCCTTTCCCAGGCTCCAAGCCAATGTTTTTCCCATGCACCGTCTTACATCAGCCAGGAAATCCCCAGGAAAACCGCACTTGTAGGGCAAAGGAGCCGTTTCCTCACACGTCCCCTCCACGCTCCGTCCCCAGAAAGGCTGGGGGGACAGACAGTGACACCCAAGGGTGTCAGGCAACAGCACCCAACCCAGCCCGGGAGCCACAGCACTGACCTGTCACTGCCCAGCCCCTCCTGCTCCAGGCACCTGCAGCTCGCTGCCCTTTCCCGGCCCCTGCAGAGCCAGGGCAGCTGGGAGGGAGCGAGGGAGGGAAGGGTGATGCTGGAGGCACTGCCCAGCCCCTCCTGCTCCAGGCACCTGCAGCTCGCTGCCCTTTCCCGGCCCCTGCAGAGCCAGGGCAGCTGGGAGGGAGGGAGGGAGGGAGGGAGGGAAGGGTGATGCTGGAGGTTCAGGACACTGGAACCACACAAGTGGGGATATCTCGGGGTACAGCTGGAGCATCCCTCCCACTCCGGCGCTGGGAGCAGCCCTGGCTGTCCCCTCCCTTTCCTTCCCAGCAGTGCGCTTCCGGAGCTGGGGGACAAACAACCCCCACCCCCCGGAGCTGCCCCCAGACCGTGCCCCTTTGGCACCGTGCAGGGCCACGGACCTGCAACACAGAGCTCAGGCAGAGGAACCCCAGGGCAGGGGGCCACAGAGACCTGCCACACCTCACCACACAGCAGAGACCTGCTCTGCCCTCCCTGTGCAGAATCTGCGCCCTCTCAGAGGTTAAATCCGCAGTTCACCCCGCCCCACCCCTGGGTGGGTTCCTGCAGGGGGTTGAGCACCCACAGCTGGCCCCGTCCCTGCTCCACCTGCAGCCCATATCCCACCGCTCCCCCAGCCCCAGCCCTGGGCTGGGCTTCAGGGAGAGCTCGGTCCCGGCTCCAGCGAAGCGGGGTGAGGGTGGATGGGCAGTTACAAAACTCCTCCGGGCCTCCACAGCAGCTGGTTTGGAGGAAAAATGCGTTTCCCAGATTTTATTCCCCAAAAGCAGGCGCGTGCAGCCGCTCCGGCGCCCGGCGCTGCCGTTTGCCCGGTTTGCCCAGATTTGAAACGGGAAGGGCACCGAGATTTCCCCCGGAGAGGACTCCAGACGCGGGGATCAGGCGGTGGCACCGCGCGGGGACACGGAATCCCTGGGGGCAGGGGGGTCACCTGGGGTTACCTGCAGTCCGCAGATCTCGGGGAGCTTTGGGGCGATGCCAGCGCCCCAGACGCGTCCCAGCGCCGCTCCCAGCTCGGCTCAAAGTCCACGGGCTCCGGCAGGGAGTAGGGGACAAATGTCCCCAGGGCAGTGGCGGGGTCACCACGACCTCGCCGTGCCTTTGTCACCGCGACCTCGCCCGCGGCGGGGCAGAGCCGGGGGCCGGGGCAGGGTCCCGGGATGTGCGGGTGCCCCGGGCTCGGCTGGACCCCGCTGCGATATCGACTGCGGGGACACGGCAGGACACGGGGTGGCCGGGCCGGGGACAGGCAGCTGGGCACGGCTGGGCGCATGGGAGCTGGGTGCTGCCGGGGCCGCTCGGCGCTCCCGGGGCAGCACGGGGCCGGGCACGGCACCGGGGACAGCCCCGAGCGACAGCCATCCCGGCAGCCGCTGGATGTCAGTGTTGGCCTGAGCCGGTCCCGATGGCAGCGGAGAAGGGAGCAGAAAAAGAAAGATTTTGGGGTCTGGGGGATGAGTGGAAGGCTGGCAGCGCCCAGGGCCCGGCGGATGTGCCGGGATGTGCCGGGATGTGCCGGGCTGGATGAGGGTGAATCCTCGGGAGCCGCGTTCCCGGTGATGGAGCGGCGCACCCGTCAGGCAGCAGCAGCAGCAGGGAGCGCTGGCGGCGGCTGCAGGGATCGACAGGGATCAATGCAGCCTCCGGGAGTGCCGCGCTGCCGACAGCGCTCCGTGCACCGGCCCTGGCCGCACCTCTGCCCTCGGAATCGTCCCTTGTGCTTTGACACCCTCTCCCTGTGCCTTATAGAATGAATTAATTAATCCAGCTAATGATCATTAGTAGTCACAGCCAGGCAGCAGCCGTGTGTTCTGCTTTGGGAATCAAGGTGTCCCCAGCACCGTGTCCCCACCTGCCCGGGGGATCCTGTGGCACGGCCGGGATGGGATTCCCAGGTGATCCCCCAATCCCAAACCCACCCGTGCTGCCCATGGGGTGCCCACCTGACCCCCCAGTTCACCCTGACCCCCACTCTGGGCTGGGTCAGGCCCCCTGGGCAGGTTCAGCCGCTGCTCTTCTGTAGGTCCCGCAGCAATCGGTGTCACTGCAGGGCCCAGCCCTGGGGCTGGGGGACAGCACGGGGACAGGGACACACCCGTGGGTGCTGGCTGTCCGTCTGTCCTTGAGCCCTTGTGCCTGGGGGAAGGGCTCGATGACCTCAGGGGGACATGGGTGACCCCAGGGGACACCAGGGGACACAGCCCCTGCTCCCATCACCCAGGGGGACACACTGTCCCTGCTCCCATCACCCAGGGGGGACACGGGCCTGCTCCCCATTTCCCTGGGAAGGAGACTCAACACACGTGCCAGACATGTGGGGACACGGGTGACTTGGGGACAAGGAGGGCACAGGGGACTTGGGGGGGGACAGGGGCACACGGAGAACATGGGGCACACGAAGGACATGAGCAGAGGGGACACCGTGGCATGGGGACACAGGGGGGTACTCAGAGGCCCTGGGGGGACCAGGGGAACATGAAGGGGACACTGGGGACAGGGGGGACATGGGAGACACAAGGGCCCACAGGGCCCAGAGGCCATGGAGCAGATGGAGGGATGGAGAAGACATGCGGGGGACAGGGGACATCAGGGGGCACGGGGACATGGGGACACACGGTGGGACTCCAGGGGACAGCAGGGACACCGCGGACGGAGGGACCTGGCAAGGTCTGGGGCCACCTGGGGGACACGGGGCACAGAGAGGGACACGGGGAACAGCCGGGGCGCCGCTGGTGGGCGGGGCCTGTCGCGCACGCGCTGGGGGCGGGGCTGCGGCGGGGGGCGGGGACGTTCGGAGCGGGGCTTCCGGGTTGGGCGAGGCCGGAGCGTTACGCAACGCGGTGGGCGGGGTCATGTCCTTATTAGGGGTGGTGGGCGGGGCCAGGCAGGGCACACGTGTGCGGCTCTGGCGCCCCGCAGCGCTCGCGGGTGGGGAGCGGCCGGGAGCGGGGGAACTGGGAGCACTGGGAGCACTGGGAGCACTGGGAGCTGGATGATGGGAACTGGATCATGGGAACGCTGGGAGCACTGGGAGCTGGATGATGGGAAAACTGGGAGCATTGGAAGCGCTGGGAGCGCTGGGAGCATTGGGAGCTGGATGATGGGAGCACTGGGAGCATTGGGAGCTGGATGATGGGAAAACTGGGAGCATTGGGAGCTGGATGCTGGGAGCACTGGGAGCACTGGGAGCTGGATGCTGGGAGCGCTGGGAGATGGGAGCACTGGGAGCTGGATACTGGGAGCAGTGGGAGCACTGGGAGCACTGGGAACTGGATGCTGGGAGCAGCTGGATGCTGGGAGCGCTGGGAGATGGGAGCACTGGGAGCTGGATACTGGGAGCAGTGGGAGCACTGGGAGCTGGATGCTGGGAGTGCTGGAAGTGCTGGGAGCACTGGGAGCTGGATACTGGGAGCAGTGGGAGCACTGGGAGCTGGATGCTGGGAGTGCTGGAAGTGCTGGGAGCACTGGGAGCTGGGTGTGGAGAGCTGGGTGTGCTGGGAACTTGGTGCTGGGAGCACTGAAAACACTGGGAGATCAGTGCTGGGAATGCTGGAATTACTGGGAGCTGGGTGCGGGTGCTGGGAGCTGTGGCTGATGCCTGCTGGGAGCACTGGAAACACGAGCTGGGTGCGGGCTGCGGGTGGAAATGGGAGCACTGGGAGCTGAGTGGGGAAGCTGGGTGCTGGAGGTCATGGCTGATGGGTACTGGGAGCACTGGGAACTGTGGCTGATGCATACTGGGAGCACTGGGAGCTGTGGCTGATGCATGCTGGGAGCACTGGGATCCAGGAGCTGGGGGTGCCGGGGGATGGATCGGGATGCTGGAATGCCTGGACATGGCTGCAGGAGCTGGAGATCCGGGTGCTGGCAGCTCAGCGCTGGTGCAGGGCACTGCGGGTTGGGATGGTGGCTGCTGGCAGCTGGGTCCTGGTTGCTGGGTGCCAGGGTCAAACCCCATTCTGCAGGGTCGGGGTTGTGCAAACATCCATTGCCCCAGAATTATTCCTGACAGCGTGGAAAGGGTTGTGGCAGCCTGGCTTTGGGATGCCACGAGGGGTGGCAGGACCCAGGGGTGGCAGTCAGGGCTGGTCGTGCTCAGCCACACACGCCAGGGTGTGGAGGAGCTAAAGTATGACTGGAAAAGACCCAAAACCGTGGAAAATGAATCAATCTGGATCTATAAACCACAGTATCTCTGGCACCAGCTCAGGAATCAGCCCGTGCCTGTGTGGGGTTGGCTGATCCAGCTCCTGAGAGCCCCGGGGCCTTGGGCCTGCTCCTCAGCCTGGGAAGGGCAGCGAGTCAGGGACGGGACTGACGGTGCTCCCCGGGCCAGGGAGGGGGACTGCCTCTGCACCCTCACAGCAGCCCCACACGGGGACAAAAAATGGCCCGGGGGACCTCAGAGAGCCTCACGGTGGCTGAAGGCACGGCGGGGCAGTGACGGAGGGGCCGGAGCTGGGCTCAGAGATAAGCCCAACGCCCTGAGGGGTGCGCGTTATCAGCAGCCAGGCTGCCCTGCCTGCTCCAGAGCCCTGCGAGAGCCCTGGTGCTCTGCTGCGGGCAGGAACGGGCAGGGAAGGAGCAGGCAGGGAAGGGAAGCACAGGAACAAGCAGAGGATCCCATGGGTGAGGCAGTCATCAGGCTCTGTCCCTCTGGGAGCACAGACTCCCAGGAGAAGGGGCATGCCGTGAGTCAAAGCCCACCTGCACGAGCTGGGGACTGCTGTCACAGCTGCTGATACAGAAATCCCCAAAATGGGTATTTTCTGGCCTGTGGGGGTGGGTCAGCACGGGGAGAACACCTGAGAGCTCGGGGGGTGCCAGGAGCAGCCCCCCTGCTCCAGGAGCACCCAGAGCTCCTGGCTCTGCCTCCCGGGACATCCCGACAGAGCGGGCTGGGGGACAGGGACAAACCCTCTGCAGGGGCTGTGCAGGGCCAGTGCCCCATCCTGGGCCTGGGGGACAGGAGCAGCCCCCAGGGACAGGGACAGCTGGTCCCATGACTGGAAGCCCCTTCAGGGGATGTGGCACCAACGTCACCAGTCCCCCAAGCTCTGCAGAAAGGATTCTGTCCCCCTTGCTTCTGCTCCTACTGGGACAGTCCAGGGGGAAGTGGATTTGTCCCCTTCCTCCCCACACAACTCCCAAGATTTGGCCCATTTTACACTTCCCCATCCCTTCCCCACTTAGGAACAGCCAGGCCATATCCAACACCAACCCTCTGGCCAAAAAAAGTTTGGCACAATTAACCCCCACTCATTCAAATCACATCGTGGGGAGCAGAATTTATATTTATGATTGGGGATTTATCAGCCCAGGAAAAAAAAACAAACCAAACAAAAACCACACCTAATTCCCCCAGCAAACCCCTGTCTTTTTGTAACATCAGAACTTAATTCCAAATGCTTCAAGTGGCTGCTCAGACTCATTCCCTGAACTGTTCTTCCCAAAAATCACATAGGGACAGGGCCTGGGCCCAGCCTGCCCCAGAAAATGGGAGTTCAAGATGAGCAACCTCAAAGGGAGAGACTTTTTAGGTTTGTAGTGAGGATTTTTGGTGGTTTTTTTTTTTTATTATTATTTTATTTGCAAATTGTATTGCTTATTTTTGCCTTTTACGTGCCCTGATCCCCCAAGGACACATTCCCTTAAAGTTCCTGCTGACTGAAGCCCCTGTCCACACCCCACAGGGCTCAGCCAGCAAGGGGCACAACCAGTGGGGAAAATCCCCTTGAAACCCTCGGGAAAACTCATGGACTTTGCCTTTGGGTCACTTCTCTCTCAAGATCTGAGATGGAGGCCGGGTAACCCTGGGAGGAGCCCTGGGCAGAGCCGGAATTGGGCAGAGGGGGGATTTTGGGGGCGAGCTGTCAGCCCCTGAGCACAGCTCCCACCGTGCTGAGGGGACACGTCTGCTAATTGTGGTCTGTGTGTGTTAATTGTGATCCACCTGATCTGTGTCTGCAGCTGGCACGTTTCTGGAGAAGGACAGAGCGTTAGGGAGTTAAACTTCAGCCGGCTGGAGAGAAAGCCAGGCCGCGTTTGGGGCCCAACAGCCCCTGAGGCGCCGGGGCCACCCCCGCGGTCCAGGCCGGATCCTCCCCGCCCTGCGAGGCCTCGGCCCCTGGGCCCTCAGCGCGTTCGGTGTGGCCATCCCGGGCAAGCCCTCCTCCCGAGCCGCCGGGGGCCCGGCCAGGCCCGATCGGGCCCGCGGGAGGCCCCGGCGCTCCCGCCCCGCCCGGCCCCGCCGCCGTGACACAGCGCCCGCCGCGCGCGGCCGCGGGGCGTCCTGGGGCGGCGAGTCCGCACCCGCCCCGGCCCCACCGCTGCATGGCGTGG